CTGTGTTTACATACCACTGCTACAGAAAAGTGCATTTCTCTGGTTGCACTGTAAGTACAGAAAGGTGTTGAGGTGCAACGCCATCCCGTAGACTCCCGACGCGTCGGTACGCGTCGGTACGCGTCGGGAGTCTACGGGATGGCGTTGCACCTTTTCTGTAGCAGTGGTATGTAAACACAGCGAAAGCGATTCGTATGTACGTTTCGGCGGTGCAAATCTGAAACGCTTTCGTGCGTTCAGTTTACGAATCGCCTTTGCTGTGCGTACATACAAATTAAATGTGGTTAGTTTCTTGTCGTGAAGTGAGTGCTTGTTGTGTCGCGACTGACAATCCTTGGAAGAAACACGTGTTTGGTTGTCTTTCAACGATTATTAGTCGCCGAATGATTAATCGATAGCGATTAATAATAGTGATAAACGTGTGTGTTCCAAGTGTAAGTGAGTGAGTGAGTGAGTGAACCGGAGAGAAGCTGATCGCAACGGCCACCCCACGAAAGAGCCCGCGCCTGACTGTGAGTTGCGCCGCCCCTGCCTACCTCCTGTATTCGACGTGTGATAGGGTAACAATTTTTATTTATATCTCGAAAAATAAGCTTTTACCAAAGTTTTACAAGAGGAAAATTCATCTTAGAATTTTATTCTGAACTTGTATTTTCAATGGTAAAAGGTTATGCTGACTCACCCTGTATATGTCCTAAAGACTAAGATTTTTAATGGAACTGACGATCGTAATTTTTTGTGTCCTGTTATCTTAGATAATAATCACGAGTTTATATCCTAGTAAGAGAAATTCATGAATCAATGGGCCATGCCGGAACACAAATGGTCATGAGCCAGATACGCGAAAGATTTTGGATTATCTCGCTTCGAAAAGTCATAAAGTCGGTGATATCCAATTATATTATATAACCTGTAAGAGACAAAGAGTAAAACGTCTGGAAACCGAAACCCCGCCTTTGCCTCCGAGTCGCGTCCGTGACGCATCAGTTTTCGAAGTGGTAGGCGTAGATTTCGCAGGGCCTTTAATTGTACGCGGAGGAGAAAAAGCGTGGATCTGTATTTGTTAATTATCGCGTGAAGTCGTTGCACACGGGACAGGTCGAGGGTCGCTTGAACAGTTCGTACTCGTAGACATAAATCGTTTATTCCGCTCTCGATACAATACACGGATCGTTGTGTTCTGCTCGCTCGCTGGAAGCCCACATACTACTACTAGCGGATAGCAGCGCGCTACTACTCGATCGCAACGCCATCGTCTTGCGACGCTCCGAGGTTACACAGAGCGCCTATGAGCATATCGGACACCTTTGTTTCAAATTTTTAACATCCTCCCACCTTAGATTCTCCATACGCATAGGAGAATCTAACTTATCAGCCTATTTTATAACAGGTTTTACAACACGTCCGCTCCGGGTTTTATACGGTACGGTTTCGATCGCTTTAGTATCGCTTAACTTCTTCGTTTCTTCCTTCGAGCCACGGGTCTTGACCACCTTTTCCTTATAGAACGTACGTAGTTGCTCAGGAATAACATCGAGATCAACTTCAAGCGGATACAATCTCTGTACCGGACGTATTAACTGACCAGCTGCGGTAACTAGACGTGCCACTCTAACAATTCCATCCTTACCCGGAAAAACTTCTAACACACGACCAAGTGGCCACGCGAAACGTTTCGTACAATCATTCCCTATCATTACAATGTCGCCTATCGATATCTGGCGCGCTTCGGGAGTTTTCTTCCTAGCGTTATTGTTCGCGAGCGCCTCTGGAAGACTGGAGCGCGAGGAAATGTGGCACGAGAAAAGACACAGGGAGAAGTGCTAAACAATCACATATTTAATTCACACGCGATTTTACACTGACATACAACTTAACACGCAACTGCCTGGCTTTCAGGACTTAATTCGACCAAGCTCGCGGGCTCGCGCTACAAGGCTCTCGCTTTAGACCTTTCTACAAGGAGGAACTCTCGCAAGGCAAAGTCACACCGAAGCTAAAGTCTACGACAGAACGGCCGCGATTTTGGGGATCAGCGCTATTTATGGGAGAGGCGATATCGGTTTCGAGCCGTCGGTGGCCAATCGCCTCCCCCAAATTTGAGTTTCCCAAGGTGATCCTCAGGGCGCGGGGAGCCATTGGTTCCCGCGCGGCCCTGAGTGGCACCGCGCGCGTTTGGCATGCGCGGAAGGCCGATCGGCGCGGTTGATTGGTGCTCCGCGGATGACGCGGCCCGAGGCGCATGCTCGCGGTGTCGCTCGGGGACGGCAACGCTCGATTTTCGTGTTCTCCAAAACCGCTCGTAATTGTTTGCCACGGGCAATGTTTTGGAGAATGTTGTTAGCCTGAGTGTTTATCTCGACGAGGGGACACGAAAGATCGCTCCCCCGACCACTGAGGGAAGTAACAGAATTTGATCGAACGAATTGTCGAGACAAAGGCTCAGGCTGCCGCGAGCCGATTTATGCGAAATTGAAGCAAATTTTAGCGAGATGCAAACTCTCGCTTTACGTTTGCCCGGCGCTATGATGCCTCCGCAAGAGGCTGAGACGTTGGGTCTCAAACAGTTATACTTAAGTTCACCCAAATATTCTGTACGGAACCGTTGTTTTAGTTCATCTTTTAATCGCTGTCGGTACCTGAATCTTCCCTTGAACTTTTCTCTATCAATTACATCGCAATCGGGTACTCCAACCTCTTGGATTTCTTGTAAGAACATATTAGGAGTAATAGGACTGGGATCCCTAGGATCCTCGGACAAGTACGTCAACGGTCGGGCATTAATGATGGACTCGCAGTCGCACAAAACGGTTAGCATTTCTTCATATTCTAAACACGCCCTTCCTAGTATCTTGCGCAAAGTTCTCTTTAAAATTTGAATGAGACGCTCCCACCAAGGAGCGGAAGGCGGATTAAATTTCCACTGTATCTTCTGTACACGACTGAGTTCGTTTATTTTGACCCAATCAATACGTTTCAATAAGTTGCTAAACCCTTCAAAATTGGTTCCATTATCGCTATACACGGTACTAGGTCGACCCCTTCTGGCTATAAACCTGCGAAAAGATTCCATGAATCTTTCTGTTGATAACGAAGTAACAAGCTCAAAATGGACCGCACGGTATATGGCACAGGTAAAAATACAAATCCATGCCTTTAGATCACCTTTCAAATAGACTGGCCCCGCGAAATCAACTCCCGTCACCTCGAATATCCGAGCGTCACGTACGCGATCCCTCGGCAAAGGAGCTGGCGCGACTTCTAATGGTTTAGCTCTCTGTCGTGTACAGATTACACATTTTCTTACAACGGATCTCGCAACCCTACGACCATGTATGATCCAGTACTCCTCTCGTAGATGGCTAAGCATCGTACTAACATTGCTATGTTTTAAACTTACATGACTTTGTTCTATTAGCAAGCGAGTTACATGGTTCTCTCCCAGTAAAACAATAGGATAGCGAAAGGGATACCCATCATCACGTTGCACGATTTTGGATTTCATACGTATTATACCTTCTTCATCCATCACCGCATTTAACGTTCGGAGTTTTACATCTTCAATGCCGTCGAACGAGTCCTTTTGTGAAATTCGTAAAAGCGTCATTTCCGCCCTTTTCCGTTCATCAATCGTTAGCCTTTTATCACTACTCCGATCTCCGGACCTTCTCATAGAACTGACAAAATGGTGAATCCATGCGAACGCGCCTACTACAGTGTTGAATTTTGAAACTCTCGGAACATAGAAAGGTTCAATTTTTACATCTATTCCAATGTTAGACGTTACCGAAACAATTTCAGCTTCGCTTACCGGAGTTTTTAATGCGACGGTTTTACGGATTTCACTTTTAATTTCGTCTTCGCGGTACGAGATCTTTGACACGGGCCATTCGGAAGAGTTATCTCGAAGCCAGCTTGGTCCGTCCCACCAGTTACTCTTCTTAAGAGTGTTGAAATCACATCCGCGTGATGGGATATCGGCTGGATTTCGATCACCAGGAACATGTTTCCAGGCGTCGATTTTCGAGATACTTCTTGTTTCTTTAACGCGATTTTCCACGTAAGGTGCCCAAGGACAATTCCGTTGGATCCAAAATAAAACTGTACTGGAGTCACTCCAAAACGCTCTGGTCCTGCATCCGTAGTGAGCTTAGAGTAGAACGGGCCAATCTCGCGCCCATACATGCTGCCAATAACTCAAGCCTAGGGATTGTAACTGGTGTAACCGGAGCCACTCTGGCCCTAGCTGTAACTAGCATAACATTGTAACGAGTCACCGGACCACGAGCCGTTAACAATAAGCGAATCGTTACGCCCCACCTCGCGCCGTCTCACCCCGCACCGCACTCACTCCCGCGCCCACAAACCAACAGTATAAAAGGCCCTCGAAAGCGCGATAAAGTACTCTTTTCCCGTCAGCGAGTTGAGCTGACAGCACCGCTCGACCCGGCGAAGTGAGCCAGGAAGAGCTCCCCACGTTGCGCGCTGAGCAACACACCGTTTCCCCGTTGACGAGTTGAGTCGACGACACCGCTAGCCTAGTGCGCGCTGAGCACTGCCCTAAAGCCACGGATTGATTGGCACCTTCCCGTCAGTCCGCGTGTTGAGCGGGCAAACACCTA